CTTCCAAAAAGTTCAGTAAGGGAAAAGGGAGAAAAGAGTAACTCAGGAGTCCATGAACTTGACAAACACTACCCCAGCCTGGAGATCAAGGTCAACACCAACAGTAAAGAATTATATTGATAGTATGTACCCTTGATAGAATGTGATGAGAATGGCCCTTTGTCTCCAAGGTCTTCCTCCTGAAATTCCGTACCCCAGTCTAATCATGAGAAAAACATCAGGCAAATTCCACTTAAGGGGCAATCTACAAAGTACCTGACAAGTGCTCCTCAAAACTGTCAAGGTCATCAAAAACAAGGAAAGTCTGAGAAAATGTCAGAGCCAAGAGGATCCCAAGGAGACATGAAGACCTAATATAATGTTGCATTCTGAATGGGATCCTAGGAGAGAAAAAGGATGTTAGGGGAAAATCAAGGAAATCTGAATAAAGTATGGACTTCAGTTAAATACTGGTTAATTAATTGTGACAAATGTACCATACTAATATAAGAAGCTAACAACAGGGAAAATGAGAAAGGGTGGGTATATAGAAACTCTCTGTATTATCATCACAATTTTTCTGTAAAGCTAAAACTATTCTATAGTATAAAGGGGGTTTTTTTGTTTTTTGTTTTTTGAGTTTTTTTGAGATAAGGTCTCACTCTATCACCCAGGCTGGAGTACAGTGGCATGATCACAGCTCACTGTAGCCGTGACCTCCTTGGTTTAAGCAGTTCTCACACCTCAGCCTCTTGAGTTGCTGGGACTACAGGCACACACCACCACACACAGCCAAGTTTTGCATTTCTTTTTGTAGAGACAGGGTCTCCCTATGTTGCCCGGGCTGGCCTCAAACTCCTGGAATCAAGTGATTCTCCTGCCTCAGCCTCCCAAAGTGCTGAGACTACAGGCATGAGCCACTGAGCCCAGCCTTAAAAGGTATTTTTAAAAAGATATTAGGGATGGCTGGGTATGGCAACTCACACCTGTAATCCCAGCACTTTGGGAAAGTGAGGCAGGAGGATCATCTGAGCTCAGGAGGTCGAGACCAGCCTGGGCAACATAGCAAGAACTCATCTCTACAAAAAATAAAAATTTAAAAAAATAGCTGGCCATGGTGGCACGCACCTGAGGTTCCAGGTACTCAGGAGGCTGAGGTGGGAGGACTGCTCGAACTCAGGAGTTCAAGGCTACAGTGAGCTACGATTGTGCCACTGCATTCCAACCTGGGTGACAGAGGGAGACCCTGTCTCAGAAAAATCAAAATTTTAAAAAGACATAAGGTAATAATTACAGACTCTCAGAAAACAAGACTCAAGCTTTAGAGTCTATGCTAGCAGAAGGAATGCTTCAAGAACACTGATCTGCTTCTGGGAATGACAGCACTAAATCTAGTCTGAGCTCTAAACAACCACCAGGACAAATGAAATGTCTCACATGGTTGAATCCAACTGGTGGTCCCTGGGTCACATGACTGCACTTAAAAAAAAAAAAAAACACACAGGGTCTTGCTCTATCGCCGAGGCTAGCATGCAGTGGTGTGATCATGGCTCACTGCAGCCTCAGCCTCTTGAACCCTAGCAATCCTCCCGCCTCAGCCTCCTGAGTAGCTAGGACTACAAGTCTGCACTACCACACCCAGCTAATTTTCTTGTATTTTTTGTGGAGACAGGGTCCTACTGGGTTGACCAAGCTGGTCTTCAACTCCTGGCCTTAAGCGATCCTCCTGTCCTGGCCTCCTGAAGGGCCTCCCGAAGCACCTAGCCTCACACCTGCACTTTTCTGCAAGGAAGGCTGTAAATGCCAGTTCTGCTTCTAACTTGAGAAGGTGAGTTCAAAATGCAGGAAGATACGTAAAACGAGAAGCTGCTCAGTATGAAGGAAGAGCCGCAGAAGTGTGACAAATGTTTTCCAGTGGCGTCGTTCTGCTGCATTTCTGTAGATCTTGTTATTCCTGGAAGCATTTAAGCTTTCAAATGTAATAAATCATTTGTCATGCTTCTTCAACACTAAGTAAAAAAACAGAACAATTGGGATCATGTCACTCATCTGCCTTCGTGTCACTGAAAACAAGTGATTTCTCCTTGTTCTTCAAATAAAATCCAAAACCCCTCCTGTGGCTTTGAAGGCCCCCCAAGAGCTGCCTGCCCCCTGCTTCACCTCACACCACACTCCAGCTAGACTGGACTTCTCTCGGTGCCTCAGGCCTACCACATTCTTCCTCTGCATTTCCTGTTTCCTCTCTCTTTCCTCGTCTGTGCCCGATCCACTACTCACCGCCAAAACTCTGCTCATCTTTCCAGGCTCAGCTGATATGCCTCTTCCCCAGGAAGCCTTAGGAAATCCTTTTGTTTAGGCTCCTAGAGAACAATAAAAATTTCCTATTTGAAAACACACTGAGTTTATCATAAGTTGGGTAACCTCTGTTTTTTCTCCCAAAAAACAGGTTCATTCTGAGACCGAAAAAAAAGGAAGTTGCCTTGGAACAGATAGGAAGGGAGGCTCCTGGAGATCTGGGGTGGGAACAGAGAGACAGGAAGAAAGGAGGGCCTGAAACCTCTGATGGAGGCAATGCACCGCCCTGATGGTGGCTGTCTGGAGCCCTGGCCAGGTGGGGTTGCCAAGATAGCCAAAGCAGCCCCCCACACCCAGGGCCCAGCCCCAACCGGGGCAACAATGCCAAGAATAATGCCCATAATCCCAGAAGCCAGGGTGCTTTGTAAGAGAAAGGGCAAGTGTGGTAGGCGTGGTGGCTCACACCTGTCATCCCAGCACTTTGGGAGGCCGAGGCAGGCAGATCACCTGAGGTCGGGAGTTTGAGACCAGCCTGACCAACATGGAGAAACCCTGTGTCTACTAAAAATACAAAATTAGTCAAGCTTGATGGTGCGTGCCTGTAACCCCAGCTACTCGGGAGGCTGAGGCAGGAGAATCGCTTGAACCTAGGCGGCAAAGGTTGCAGTGAGCCAAGATCACACCATTGCACTCCAGCCTATGCAACAAAAGTGAAACTCCATCCCTGCCCCCCCAAGAAAAAGGAAAAGGGAAAGTGGTAGACAACTAGACAACTACACACACATACACACCCCACCCAAATCATGGTTTATCTTCCAAAGCACTGGGAAAATTAAAACAAAGAAAGCACAGCTCATATAAAATGAGAAAAAGAGAAGAGAGAGGAAAAAAGTGAGAAAGAAGGACAAAGAAAGAGAGAATGAAGTGATAGACGGATCAATAAAGCATAAAAACAGAGAAAGAAAATATAGTAGCACATGTTCACAAGCATTAGGACTAGTTGGTCAGTAGGGGTGAGTCAATTATTTTTTTTCTTCTTTTATATTTAAACACAAAAGGATAAATTTTTTCAAGAGTATTTTATTGCAACATAGAAGGAGGGCAAGTCAAGCATTGTTAGCCTGTCAAATCAGAAAAAAAAAAAAAAAAAAAATTGGCCAGTGTGATAGCTCATGCCTGTAATCCCAGGACTTTGGGAGGCAAAGGTGGGTGGATCACCTGAGGTCAGGAGTTTGAGACCAACCTGGCCAACATGGAGAAACCCTATCTCTACTAAAAATATAAAAATTAGCAGGGCATGGTGGCAGGTGCCTGTAGTCCCAGCTACTCAGGAGATTGAGACAGGAGAACTTCTTGAACCCAGGAGGAAGAGGTTACAGTGAGCTGAGATCACGCCACTGCACTCCAGCCTGGGCAACAGAGCAAGACTCCTTCTCAAAAAAAAAAAAAGGAAAAAAAAAAACCTAATGCAATAAAATACTCAAGTCGATTGAGAAAAAGTTCTCACCTGTCCCTGGCTCCCAACTTTTCACCTGACAGTGGGAAAATTCCCAGAATTTCACAAGAAACACTGTGGGGTCAGTGACCCGAGGAGCTGCCCGGGTATCAGTAATGCTTGAGACCTGCTTGAGACAGGACTAGAGCACTACCAATGGTGGGGCTTCCTGGGCGAGGCCGCACTGCCAGCAGAAGTGCAGGTGCCCACGTAGCAACCTCCCTGGAGAAGCAAGACATGCATATAGTCGGGGAGGGAGCCAAGGGCACATGACAAAGCAAAGCGACAGGTGTCCAGCTTCCTCAAAGGAGGAAGCCAAGGCAATGCTGCACTTGCCGGATACAGGCTGAGGCACAGCCTCCAGATAAAGACACATCCTCACTGACTCAGGCTCTTTCAGTTTCTAGAGAAAGCAATGAGTGGGGTCAGGGGCACAGATCTTGTAAGAGACATGCACAGAACCCAGGAGGATCAGAAGGGCTGGGAGGATCTGAGGCAGCACTGGGAACGTGAGCAGCCGGAGCCCCTCGGCCTGCCCTCCAGGACCCCCATTACTACTCCTCTGAGTTGTTCTCTTTTCTCTGTCAGCTAAATCCTCTGTAGTCACTTCTCTTTTTTTGAGATGGAATTTCGCTCTATCAGCCAGCTGGAATGCAATGGTGCAATCTCGGCTCACTGCAACCTCTGCCTCCCAGGTTAAAGAGATTCTTCTCCCTCAGCCTCCCAAGTAGCTAGAATAACAGGCACCCACCACCACGCCCAGCTAATTTTCTTATTTTTAGTAGAGATGGGGGTTTCATCATGTCGGCAAGGCTGGTCCCAAACTCCTGGCCTCAGGTGATCCACCCACCTTGGCCTCCCAAAGCGCTGGGATTGCAGGCGTGAGCCACTGAGCCCAACCTAATTCACATCTTTCTTCGGCCTCTTAGCTTCTGCTCATTGCTAGTTTCTTCCAGTGCCCCATGATGGCCCCTCCAGCCTTTCTCTAACTCAGGGCCTTCCAGCTCAACTTCCTTCTGTTAACAGCTTCATCCCCTTGTTGCTTCCTGGTCCAAATTCTTTCCCAGAGAAATGGTCTGATTTTCCCAGCTCATTGCTTGGCCAAAACAAACCAGAGATCCCTGGCCAGCCTTGTTCTTGTCACCCCCCCAGTTCCTCCATTGGCTAGGGAGAGATCCCCTGCTCTAAATAGGACAAGATGGCCAAAAACACGCATTTGACACTGGGCAGATGAGATTGACAGCAGTTTACTAGTCAAAATAGAGTCCAGTGAGGAAAGATATCACAAGCCACGCAGGGCCACACGGGGTCACCCTCAGGAGCAGAGTGAACCAACAGGGCTGTGGGAGGCAGCCTTGCAGTAACAAAAGCATGAGGTACCCCGGTTTCCTGTGAGAGGATGTGACTGGCTTGTTTGAATAGCTTCCCAGGCTGGCAGAGAAATGAAACCTATTAAGTAGGAAACTGAGTGGAGTGCAGCTGGTCCAGATGGTAGGGAACTAGCCAGCTAGGGGGCCAGAGCAAGGGCACATCAGGTGAGAGGCAGGAACTCAGGGTTAGGTCTTTGGGGCTCTGTGAGGCTCAAAGATGTCACAGCAGCAGAGCAACTGGAAGTTCTAAATCCTCTCCACCCACCCCTCCGACTTTAACCACTTTAATCCTCCTTTCCATTCCAGCTGCCTCCATGGGGTTGGAAAAATTCCAGCCAGGACAGACGGACTCCAGAATGCCACTGTGGGACAATTTCAAAGCAAGAAAAATTGAGGTTCAAAGTCATCCCAGAGTCTGGGGAAGAAAGAGGCATTTCCTCATGCTTGACAAGCGCTGGAACTCCAAGAGTGAGCTTGGGAGCCTGTCCTGTCATGGTTCTGACGGGATGTAGGGTCGCTTACAGATGAAATGAAATGTTTGGTCACATGAGGCATCATTCCAGGACTGAAGCGAGGATACCTTTAAATTGGCACAGTGTTCATTGTTTCCATAATTGTTGGGCTCACCTGGAATCCAGAACCTACCAAGTGGTGGAAAAAAAGATGGATTTACAAAGTTGGAAAATGAAGAACTTATTTCCAGTGAAGAAATGAGTTAACTCAATCCCAGGTTTAGTCCTAGGGAATGGCAGCAAATGTCTGCACCCAAGCCTAAGAGGAAAGGGACTGGTGAGACTTCGACCTCTAAGCTTTCACTCACACCCCAAGCCCAGTCCACCACTCTCAAGTCCCTATACAAACCTACAATGTGAAGACCTAGACTCATGACATGATCCCTGCTGAAGCTGGCCAGGTAGAAGGCCTTGCTGCCAAACCCCAGAGGGCGTGGAAGGCCCAGGTCCCAAAGTCAGTTAGTGACAGGGTTGCACTAGATCTTGGTTCCAATGCTCCTGTCACCCTAGGACAGAGAAGAATCAGAAACCCTGTCTCATGGGGAGCATCACCTCCACTCCCTTCTTTCCCAGGCCATGGCCGGGGAAACTCAGGCTGGCAGGGAGGGGTCCAGAGCCTTACCTCTCACTTTGGACCTTGTTGAAAGGCGTGTCATCCACCCAGTACCACTCCCCTTCCATTCCTGCTTTAGTCAGGCCAATCCAGTAGATGCGTCCCCCTGCTGTCTTATACAGAAACTCCTATAGGAAAGACAGGGTAAGCAGAGGTGTGGTCACACTCAGAGCTTGATCATCTGTCTCTGGGTGTTCGTCACCTGTGCTCAGTGACAGCCCTGACCCACAGATGTGCTGCACACACTGGCCTCTCTCAAGCCTCTTCTTGCCCTGCCCAGGGCTCAGATTTCATCTTCCAGATTATGATATGTCTCTGCCCTGCAGCTAAGAAGCTCAGGACCCAAGCCTTTCTGCCACTGAGGAAGCAGGTGCTGAAGCACAAGAAGGCCTCAGCTGAACTCCAGAGCATGGACCCCAAGAGAATGGTTCAGATGATAACACCTGAATTTAGCAAGCTCTGAGTCCTCATAAGGCACTGTGCTGAGTCCTCCGTATGTATTCACTCCGTTCCTCTCTGAGGCAGGTGCCAGCACCATGCATGTTTTATCAAGTGAGGGCCAATGAAGTTTGCCCAGTGAAGTTGTGTATTCCACCCAAGCTGCTAGGACTGGTTAGCAAGGTTAGGGCTCTAGAACTACTCCAGAGCCCAGGCTCTGACCTGCTCTGCTATCCCACTGCCAGATGAAAAGGGCCCGTGCAATTTCTGCCTCACCAGGCAGGAGACTTCTTGAGTCATGCGGATTCATTAATGCTGTTCATGAATATCTCTTTTTTTCTGGGTGGAAAGTAGCACCTCTCTGCCTTCTTTGAATCCAGGAGTACTGCATAACTTACTTTTGGCCAGTGAAATGTAAGTAAAAATGAGGTATGTTAAATCTGGGCAGAAGCTTTGCACAATACATCAAGTTCCCTTTTCCTGCCCCAGCAATTGTGGAAACATGTTAAGATGAAGTCTCCTTCGGCATGGGTCCTTGAGTAGCCACAGTGAGCAGAACCCCCTTGCCAGTCCTTATTAGACATGGTATGTAAGAAATAATGCTTCTTCATTAGGTCATCAATATTTGGGGATTTTTATTAGCCCAGCATAATCTTGTCCATCCTCCCTGGCCCAATGCTTATATGCCCCCTTCCCAGATCCCCTAGGCACAGCACTCACCTGCTCACTCTCTGAGGTCACTGAGGTCAGGTGTGAATTCCTGGACATACAGAACTGCTGGGCGCTATACCAGGTCTTTGGGATGCGAGAAAAGTAATAGAAGTTCTCCTTGAAGAAATTCCAGCCTTGAGAAACCACCTGTAGAATGTCCTCTAGAGAACAAGAGCTAAAAGTGAACGCTGGTATTCTTGTTTTCTTGGGGTGCTGGCTTGGTGGGGGCGATTGAATGACGTCTCAGAGACAGCAGCAAATGGAGCTGTGCTCTGGTGTCCTTGGGTCCTTGTGTAGGGGACTGGAGACACTCTTTCAAATCCTGAAAGTCAGACAGAGACTAACAGAGTCTCTGGGACTGGAGAGGTTGGAATGTGAAAGGATGGACAAAGGATGTCTTTCCCATGAAGGGGAAGCAACTCTCCATTGGCCATGACAAGTGGCTGCGTCCCTGGACTCTAGAAAGGAACTTGATGGGAAATGACCAGGTATGGGCCAGGGTGGACATCTCCTAATGCTTTTACATTCTGCACTTTGGTGTGGGAGCTCCAGCTGGACCCTGGTCTCTTTTCCTAACAGCCCCTAAGTCCTCCCCAACCCCAAGACTTCTCTCCTCAACTTTCTAGCCCATGGCTGCCCCTCTCTTGCCCGCCTCTTCTCCCCACCCCACCAGCCCCATAGTCTCAGGACTGGAACAGGTAAGGGTCCCATGGGCCGCTGGTCAGTTTCAATGTAATTTTCTGAGTCACTTACTTTGTCGTTTGAGCAACTTGCTCATATTCTCCAAACTGCCCTGGAGTTCCCGGATCTTTGTATTTAAAGCACTGGCTTTCTCTAGGTCTCTTTTTAACTCTGGGATTTGGGCGTTTAAGGTACCGACATCCTCCCAACTTCTCGTTAAGATCTGGATCTGGGCGTTGGCCTTCTCCACACTGGTTTTTAACTTCAGGAACTGAGAACGCACAAAACCCAGGCTCACATTCACCATCTGGATCTGAGCGCCAGCTGCCTCCATGCCGTCACCATTCTTTTTAATTTCAGAATCCAGGGTGCTGATGTTGTCCACACGACCTTTCAGCAACTGGACATTGGTCTTTACATCTGATATGGTGCCCATAAACCGGGGATCTGGAATTGAGAAAGTCAGGAGGTCAGCTGAGGGGAGCCTTAGGGACAGGAGTGAGGGTGTTGTCAGGTTGATCAAAGGAAAGGAAGGGAAGGAACAGGCTGAAGCTTCCCAAGGAACCAAGACAGTCCAACTGACCACCCCAACCCTCCAATCATTCATTAACATAAAACAAACATGCAATGGGCACCTACCATGTGCCAGGAACACAGGTAGATACAGACAATGGGAAGATTGATAAAACACAGGTTTTTCATGAGATTTCACAGGCAAGCAGAAGCAGGGGTTAGAACCCAGTCCTGAATTTTCTCTGAGTGTTCAGAGAGCATTTGATAAAGGGGTGCCCTCCATGAACCCCATCACTCTTCCCAGAACTTGATTCCCCCGGACCCCTCCCCTTGGTTGCAAACCCTCTGCTTTCAGAAACCCCTGCAGTGGCTGTCTGCTAGGACAGCACCACTCCCCTACATCTGTCCATGGGTCCCTCTGTGACCACAGGAAGAGCCAGCCACTAATCTGGAAGTGGCTTCTTCTCTGGAGAACATGGAAATGAAGATTACAAAACTGTTTCTCCTCTTCCCTTGTCCCATCCACTTTCACATTCTGCTCAAGTCTCAGGCCTGGGTACCAGAGAGAGGATCAAAGACAAACCAAGAGGCTCAAAAGTGAGTCCTGTGGAAAATGCCATGGTAGAGGCCAGGGGTCTAGAATGGGGCCAAGGGACTCTGCCCAGAGCCTACAAGTGTGAGACCAAAGATGTCCCGAGGCCACAGAGGGACACAAAACACAACAGCTTCTCAGGTTCCCTTGTTCTGCTTCCTGGTGCCCTGGCAGGAGGAAGAAGGCTCTGCCAGCAGCAAAGGCCATGAAGCCTGGCAGAGCCAGAAGAGGAAGAAAGATAAACCATGCAACACCAAATGAATAGGAGAGCTCCCCAGATGTGATCTTCGCAGGGACAGGAGAATGAAGAGAGCGTGAACGGATCCTGATGAGGGGACCGAGTCATGGAGATCTGCTGGCTTGTTGGCCAGGCTCTCCATGCAGTCGGTTGGGGCCCATGACACGGGAGGCTCAGTCCTTCACAGGGTCAGGAGACACTGCACTGTCAGGGGCTGTCCACAAGACTCCAAATCCAAGGAGCAGAGCTCAGATGGGTGGGAGATCTGCTGAGGGCATGGAGAAAATAGCACAGGATGAAAAACTGAATGAATGTTTCCTGAGAACAAAAGAATGTATCCTTGAGCACCAATGTGCAAATACTGATCCCAATAATCTCCCAGAATTGGATGGAAGGAGGGAAAGAGCAGCAGCTGACCTTTCTGGGGATGGCACACCCATTACTGCATGTGGAAAGAGGAGAAAGGAGACAAATGAAAAAGCCACAGCCAGGAGAAACCTGGAAAGCAGGGAAGTGGTCTGGATCTGGAGGGAGCCGGGTGGCCCACAGAGAGGGGCTAAGCCCAGACGCTGAAACATGAGGACTTACAAAGGACAGCCTGCAGCAAGACAGAGGCGACCAGGACCAGTGTCAGGCAGATTAATGCAGCACAGACTGTGGATGTTTTCCCCGGGACCAGAGACGGACCGGACTTCGGAGGAGGCTCTGTTGGAAGAAGAAGAAGAAGAAAATGTTGAAGGAGCAGCAAAGGGTAGGCTTGCACATGGAACTCGGAGCAGGTTCCGAGCAGTGACTGTTGCTTGCCTCGGGGCCAGAGGGAGATGTTCTGTTTGTCCACAGTGAAGTGTGCATCAGGGACCTCCCTCTCTGCAGTCATCCTGAGCACTCACCCTTACCCTGGCAGCACAGGTGCTTCTGGCTGCCTGCCCCTCCAAGGACTCTTATCTGGAGGAAACAGGAAGTGAGTCCCACGGCAGGTCACCACATTATCCCAACTTCCCTATTCCTGACTAGGTACCTCGTCTGACTTAATCCCCTCTTCAGAAGTCTGAGCTTTCAGGAAGAGGCCACTTGTTGTCTTCTCTGGGGGTCTGTTGCATAGATACATTAACCATCTTGTCCCAAAGCTCTCCCATTTCTCTCTCTCTCTTTTTTTTTTATTATTATTACTATGTTTTATTCCTTTAAAGATATGGCTTCAATGACTTTGTATCTTTTAGGCCAGATGTTTGACAGAGGGTGCTGTCTTCTAAAAGTTGAGAGCTTAAAGTAGGAATTATGTGGAAGTGGCAACTTTCTTGGAATATGTAGAGCTGTCACTAGGAGATTGAGTCATATGATTGATTAGCCCTTGACTAACCAAACCCTTTAATGTGGCAGCTTAGAAGTTTTCTAATACAAATCAACTAATTGCACCAACTAATAAGAAACACAAAATACAATCAAAATTTTCCCCAAGGCCGGGCACGGTAGCTCACACCTGTAATCCCAGCACTTTGGGAGGCCGAGGCAGGCGGATCACGAGGTCAAGAGATCCAGACCATCCTGGCCAACATGGTGAAACCCCATCTCTACTAAAAATACAAAAAAATTAGCTGGGCGTGGTGGCGCAAGCCTGTAGTCCCAGCTATTTGGGAGGCTAAGGCAGGAGAATTGCTTGAATCCGGGAGGCGGAGGTTGCAGTGAGCCGAGGTCGCGCCACTGCACTCCAGTCTGGCGCCTGGTGACGGAGTGAGACTCTGTCAAAAAAAAAAAAAAAAAAAAAAAATTCCTCAGATGCTTTTTCTTCTTTTGAAAAGAAACAGTGGAAAAAGTGTGTGTGTGTGTGTGTGTGTGTGTGTGTGTGTGTGTGTGTGAATTTTCTCCTAACAGTGTACATTTTAAAATTTGAACACATGGCCAGAGACTTAATTTGAATGAAGGAATTACATACATAAATACAGTTTTATTTATTTATTTTTTTTTAAATTTTTTTTATAAGAAAAAGAATAAAGAAGAGGAAGAAAGAGAAAGAGGAAGAGGGAAAGAGAATGGGGGTATTGCTTTATTGCCCGGGCTAGAATGCAATCTAAATATGGGTATGCCTATAATTGTCCTTAATAATGGAGATATAAAAGAAAATGAGGGAAGAGAATAACAAACAAGGAGCCAACCAACATTTCGTTTAAACTTCTAAGTTGATATGATGTGGTACTGATAAGAGTGTATATTTTGTATATTTAAAGTGGAGAGTTCTATAAATGTTAATTACATTTACTTATTCCAGATCTGAGTTCAAGTCCTGGATATCGTTGTTAATTTTCTGTCTCATTGATCTGTCTAATATTAATGTTGAAGTCGCCCACTATTATTATGTGGGAGTCTAAGTCTCTTTGTAAGTCTTGTATGTCTGTGTATTCCTGTATTGGGTGCGTATATATTTAGGATCTTTAGCTCTTCTTGTTGTTGCATTGATCCTTTTATCATTATATAATGTCCTTCTTTGCTTCTTTTGATCTTTGTTGCTTAATTGTAACTTCTGCTTTTTATTTATTTATTTTAGCTCTCTGTTTGGTTGGTAAATCCTTCTCCATCCCTTGTTTTGAGTCTTTGTGTATCCTTGAATGTGAGATGGGTCTGGATGCAGCATACCGATGGGTTTTAGTTTTTTATTCAAATTGTCTGTCTGTCTTCGGATTGGGGGATTTAGTCAATTTAAATTTAGAATTAATAATAATATATGTGAGTTTAATACTGCCATTTAATATTAGCTGGCTATTTTGCCCATTAGTTGATGTAAATTCTTCATTATATTGATGCTCTTTTTGGTATTTTTTTTAGAAAGGCTGATACTGTTTGTTCCTTTCTATGTGTAATGGTTCTTTCAGAAGCTCTTGTAAAGCAGGCCTGGTGGTGATGAAATCTCTGAGTGCCTGCTTATTCACAAAAAACTTTATTTTTCCTTCACTTGTGAAGCTTAGTTTGGCTGGATGTGAAATTCTGGGTTGAAAGTTCTTTTCTTTAAGGATGTTAAATATTGGTCCCCACTCTCTTCTGGCTTGTAGGGTTTCTGCTGAGAGATCTGCTGTAAGTCTGATAGGCTTCCCTTTGTGGGTAACCTGACCTTTCTCTCTGGCTGCCCTTAGTATTTTCTCCTTCATTTCAACCCTGGGGAATCTGATGATTATGTGCCTTGGAGTTGCTCTTCTTGAGGAATATCTCTGTGGTGTTCTCTGTATTACCTGAAGTTGAATATTATCCTGCCTTACTAGGTTGGGAAAATTTTCCTGAATAATGTCCTGAAGCGTATTTTCCAGCTTGGATTCATTCTCTTCGTCACATTCAGGTACACCTATCAAGCGTAGATTAGGTCTTTTCACATAGTCTCATATTTCTTGGAGACTTTGCTCGTTCCTTTTTATCCCTTTTTCTCTAATCTTGTCTTCTTGTTTTATTTCATTGAGTTGGTCTTCGACCTCTGATATCCTTTCTCCTGCTTGATCAATTCGGCTGTTAAAACTTGTGCATACTTCACGAAGTTCTCGTATTGCGTTTTTCAGCTCCATCAATTCACTTATATTCCTCTCTAAATTGTGTATTCTTGTTAACATTTCGTCAAATCTTTTTTCAAAGTTCTTAGTTTCTTTGGATTGGGTTAAAACAAGTTCTTTTAATTCACAGAAGTTTCTTATTATCCATATTTTGAAGCCTGCTTCTGTAATTGGAACACACTCGTTCTCCATCAAGCCTTGTTCCGTTGCTGATGAGGAACTATGATCCCCCGCTGAGGGAGAGGCGTTCTGATCTTGGGTGTTCTCAGCCTTTTTTGGCTGTTTTCTTCCCTTCGCTATAAATTTATCCATCTGTGGTCTTTGTATTTACCGTCTTTGTAATTGGGTTTCTGAGTGAACGTCCAACTTATTGATTCTCAGCGCCGAAATCTGAGCAACCCACTGCGCCGACTAAATCAGCAGCCTTAAGATTGATGGTGCTTTTCTGACTCTGCACCAAGAACCAATGCTCCAAGACGCCGGCAAAACCGCCTCGCTGGTCACAAGAGTCGCGCTGGTGACCCGTGGGGCTCCTCCGCTGGGAATCTAGTGTGTGAGCAACAAGAATTCATGTGAAGGTGTGGCGTCCTCTCCTTCTTTGCGCTTTCACTGGCAGCTACAATCCCGAGCTGCTAGTGATCAGCCATCTTGGATAAATACCCCATTTCTCTTGTAAGACTCTCCTCATCCATCCACCCACTCACTCATCCCGCAAACACAGACTGAGTGCCTTCTAAGTACTGATGCTCTCCCAGGCAGAGGGCCACGGTGGTGAAGAACTCACAGCCCTTGCACCAAGCAGCTCACAGTCTGGTAGGAAAGACAGACATGAGCAAATAAATTGCAAGGTGGTGAGCACAAGAGACAAACACGCCCAGTTCAAAGAAGCATAGGAAATGGAGTAATGGGAAAAAATAAATAAACTCCAGTAGAAGAATAAACTCTAGTAGAAGGATATGAATAAAACTCCAGTAGAAGGATAAGAAGTTTAAAAAAATAACTCCAGTAGAAAGATAAGCATATTCCAAAGAATGGAGCAGAAGATAGCATGGAGGGCTTGGCAAACTGTAAATAGTTGCAATATTGCTGGAATGTAAAATATACATTCCAACAGGAAGGGGACGCACATGGAGTGGAAGAGGCACCTGAGGTCTCATCATGAAGATCCTTCTGATCATGTCAAGGAGCTTGACGTCTGGCTTATGGATGACATGAGGCCAATGAAGAACTTCAGGCAGGAGAGAGACAAGGACAGGGACATTGTGGAAACATTACTCTGATCGTGGTGAGAAGCACAGACTGGGGGTGGGAAGCCTGGTAGCGGGGAGACCCACTAGGTGACCATTGCAATAGAATATTCTGCTTCTCCTTATTAATGCATCTTGGTTGATACAATATCCCTTTGTAATATGTAACTTGAAGATTCAAAATGTAAACCTAAGACTTGGATTCTCCTTCCTGCTTCCTGCAGCACGTGACCTTTTCAAACAAAGTAGGGACGCTCAGCAACGCAGACTAGGAATCATTCAGTTTCTCTCTCTTATCTCTCTGTCCCTACCTCCTCTCCCTTCCTTGTATCCCGAAATAGAGAGTTCCATAGGTGCAAGAAGATCAGGGCACAGAGGAGGTGATCTGGGGCTCAATGAAGGACTAAATTTTCTCCTGGGTGGCTTCTCATGCTTTGAAGAAGTCTACCAAATCTGAGAAATTTGGCACATGGCAGGCTCTAGACAAATATTTCTGGGAATGTAGGAAAGAGGAAGGGAGGGAAGGAAAAAAGAAGGAAGTTGGTCCAGATAATTGGAGGATGGGTGAATGAATGAATGGATGGATGGAGGATGCATGAATGCATGGGTGAATGGTAAGTGACTGGGAGATTTGATAGCTGCTCATGCCACTCTGACATCTACACAGTCTGCCCTGGGATCTGCCTTCTAGAAACTGCTGCTACCTTCCACGATCTCCAGAAGTTCTCATTCGTCTTCAAAGCAAAAGCACAAGGGGAAGTGTGACTTACACCATAACCAGGAAGGAACAAAAGCTCTGGCCGCAGGACTAGAGTGCTGTCCTGGGCCTGCTGAGGCTGAGCCAGTGGAGCTGGATGACAGGCTTTATCAGGGACAAGGGTTAGAGGTTATGTTAGCAGGGCCAAGGAAATACCTACCTATAATTTCGGGGGCTCCTGCTGCCCTTGATATGTGGGAGGACAGTGGCTGTGAGCTCAGCCTGTGCTTATGTGCAGCTCATTGTAGTGATAGGCCCTCACTGCTCTCTCTCCAGCTAACTGGGCCTCAGGCTGGAGCCACTTCTTGGACTGGATGAGGGAACCCAGAGAGGACCTCACACTGGGAAGCTCTGGGAAGGAA